TCCCAATTGGTTTTTTCTTTACGGAACATTTTGTAATCGAATCTATAAGTCTTTCCTGTGCTTTGGTAGGTTGATCCCCAAATATTTTATGCATTTTGTAGTTATTTGGAATAAGATTTCCCTTTCTAATATTGCTTCATGTGCTTTGTTATTATATAAAAATGCAGTTGATTTTTGAGTATTTTGTATCTGCAACTTTGCTGAAGTTACTGTCTCAATTAGTAACTTTGCAGATTCCCTACGATTTTCCAAGTAAATCACCCTATCATCAGCAAATAGGGATAATTTCCTCTTTACCTATCTTTATGCTTGAACTCACTTACTAGATCTGGAGGTCATAGTTCCTTCTGTTGTTAACGTTTTCCCTATTGATTTATCTGCTTATGTTTAAGGTCTTTGAGTTTAACTTCCTGAGATCTTTGGTGATTTCAGTCCCCCCCTTCCCATTCCCCTTCCCCCAATTTGTTTTCTGATTCCCTCCTCTTTCATGATGGTTTCTATGGGAGCTGGATCTCAAAGTGTCTCAGCCTCTTCCCATGCAGGACAATTCACAGTTCAACAGTCTAGGCCTCTGCCCCAAGTGACTTTCAGATAGTGAGAACTGGCCCCAACTGGATGCTATGTTCTTTTCCTCAGGCTTAGTCAAGTGTTGCACAACCACCCTTCTCCCCTTCTCCACCCCCAACCCACACAGTGTCCTGCCACGGTGACCTCCCCTACTCCCTTTATTTCTCAGTTCTCTGGCTCAGCACCAGCATTTCAGAGCTTTGTAGCACTGGTACCACAGGGTTGTGACCCTGGTAGGTTTTTACTCCTAAAGTGTTGCCACCATGCTGGTTGAAGTGGCCCAGGTAAACTTCTACAGCCTAGAGCTGGGGTCTCCATGGCACTGGAAAGAGGGGGAGTAGTGGTGGGTGGGTTTTATTATAAGCCCATGTCATATCCCTGTATCTGTTAGTGTAGCTTTACTGCAGGCAGCATGGGAGGTCAGGTGGGTGTTAAGTGGACTCAGGGACAGTGAGGGTCAGTTCATGGGTTTTGTTTTGTTTTTTTTTTTTTAAACCTTCATTTGGAGTCTGAGTGTCCTAGGCTGTAGAGATGGCTGAAGTGCCTTCATTTTTGGTGCATAATTTCTATTCTGAAGATGTGTGATAGGTCATAGCAATCAGGAAAAAATATCTAGTCCTCTATCTTGTTGCTCACATGACCCAGAAGTCTACCTTATTGTTTTTTAAAAAGTAATGCTTTGTCTTTTTTTGATTAAATTTACTGATATATTTAGATTTTGAGAGATAATGGAGAATAGAAGGACCTGGCATGCTATGGTCCAAGGGGTCACAAAGAGTTGGACACAACCAAATGACTGAACAACAAACTGATACATTTTATTTTGTCACAATAGACACTAGGGAGGTAGTGTGGCATAGCAGAAAGTGCACTAAACTTGCATCATGGGACCTGAGTTTGAATCTTGGCTTTGCTATTTACTAGTTGTGTGACCTTGGGCAAGTCACTTCACCTCCCTGGGCCTCAGCCTCCTCACCCATAAAATGAGAAGCCCTCTAAGATCCTTTATGGCTCTAGATTTGTGATCGTGCTACCTATTAACTCTCTGTGAAAAAAAATGTAACATGTCTTGATGACATGGAGTCCTTATTTTGAACATGTCACTATAGGAGCTGAGGGTTACTGAGGTGTTGGACCCTATGTTACTAGTCCCAGGCTACACTCCTCATACCTGGGAGTTCTTCCTTCCTCAAACATCAGCTGACTTGTCTAGGTCTCAAATATGCAGCCTCTTGTCTACCGCCCAGTGAGGCCATACTTCCCTGTAGTGCAGAGATAACCTTGGCTGCTCAGAGGCTGTACCTGGTCAAACCAGAAAGGCTTAGAGTATGGCCCAGTGACCCACAAGGCCTGTCCCAGCTCTGTTTAGAAATGTTCATCACCTGCAGGGGGACAGCTCCTGAAGACCACAGCATGCCTATGGATGTGCTCACTTCTCAAAATTCTCCCCCTCCCTGAATTACCTTCCCATGCAGATACTTGTAGGAGCTCAGGAACATGTTGATTACCGTAGGAGTGTGGATCACAGAGCTGGAGCTAAAACGGACCTCAGAGATAACTCAGTCCAGTCCCCTCATTTTACAAATGAGGACACTGAAGGCTCAAAGAACATAAGTAACTTGACCCACATCATGCAGGCTGTTAAATGTGAGAGGCATAATTTAAACCTAAGTCCTCTGACTCCAGACTTGGTGCTCTCCATTGTACCATACTAAACCTCCTTGTTTTCCCCAAATGCTGGAACTGTTCCTTCAGAAGAGCACTGCAACTCCAGGGACACAAGCTACCTGCATAGTCTAGGGTTATTTCACTATGTGTTGCCCCCATACTCAGTAAATCAAAAAAACCCAACCTTCTGAGGATTCACAACTATGCTTTGCCACAAACCTCAGGGCATCCACATCTGACATGCCCTTAAACTGCCAAGGATCACAACTTAAACACCAACTTTTTCCTCCACCTCCTTCCCCCTCCAATCAACAAAATGAAATTCTCTCTTGCCCTTGGCCTCACACCACTGTATCATGCATCAACTAACTCGATCACTCCAACTACATGCAGGCTATCTCTCCATCCACACTCTTCTCCATATTCTCTGTATCACACTCTGGATGCACACTGACACAAATAGCTAGGGGCCAGTTCTCTTACAACCATCAAATCACAATGACCTGCACCAAAAGGATGTCATGACACTGACTAATAGCTGAGGGATTAGGACATAACAAGTAACTACTGGCAATGGCTTTATGCCCATGCTCCCCTCCTTACACAGCTGTTTGCATTTTAACTCAGGCATCCCCAGAGCTCATTATTCTCTATTAAGCTGTAGACGGTTACAAATTTCATGAGGAAGGAAAATGTTCACATAGACAATAGTCTCAGATCTTTGCATTACTGAAGTAGGGGTTTGCCATAAGCAAGTATGAATGACTCTATTTTCACCCCAGAGTATACATGGGGTACAAATGATGGCTATTTGCCTTTTTGAGGTCTTTTTTCTTTTTTTTTCTGGGTTCACAGTTATGTTACAGAGATGACTAATATAAGACTTCCGGCTTCAAATAAGCAGGGCATAATATGGCAATTTTCTTATACTACCACTAAAATATAAAAACCACACAATAATGATAATGCTACATTAAATTTAATGGAACACCTTATGCTTTAAGTGTTTCTTAAAGAGGCTCTCAGTAGAGTGGTGAAGATCTAATAGGGAAGAGGCGGGGAAAAAACCAACAATAGCATAGCCAGGCATGGTGGCATAGGCTTGCAATCCCAGCTACCAGCGAGGCAGAAGCAATCAGGTCTTTTGGGAATTCTAAGCTGACTGGGTGTCAGCACCAAGTCTGGCATCCACAGAATGAGCCCCTGGCACTGGGGGGCACCAGGTTGTCAAAGGAAGCTTGAACCAACTCAGGCCGGAAAGAGAGCAAGTTAAAGGGCCTGTACAGTCAGCTGTGGGATAGGGCCTATGAGTAGCAATACACTTCCAGCCTGGGCAAGATGGGGAAACCCAAACTTTAATTTAAGGGAAAAAAAATGGCCTTGATAACTTAGCAATCTCTTCCTGTAATTTATTTTAATGACATAACTCAACTTTCAGAATGGGTTCAGTTTTTTAGATCACTTCTCCTTTTGGGTAGTTCACTTTCTTTTCATGGGAATTAAAGTAATAGTAAAATAAATCAGCAATCTTTTGCAACTGGCCCAGAAAGTCAGTGGTTTTATACAGGAGAGCTTGTCTCAGCCTAACTTGTATAAAACAAACTCTCCAGATTTGAGCTTCTAACAAAAACAACAAAACAAAAACCTCACTCTAATACACAAAACCACATTCCTCCCTGCTTTTGGCTCCTGACACATAAAAAGGCATCACCCTGGTCAAAGAAAATGATGATTCTTTCCCTCTGAAAACAAGTAGACTGAAGGACTCCTTCCTTCTTCCTTGAAGTCAATTTTTCCTACTCTTTTATTTAGCACTAACAAATTACCAGATTGGGTCAGGTTAAAAACTTTGTTTTCCCACAGCACTGCAAGAACAACAATAAACATTTCTGATCCAAATACTACATTTTCCCTCATGAGGGCAGTATGGTATAGTGGAAAGAGGACTGAGCTTGGAGTTAGGAGAACTGGATTCGAATCCTGCCTCGGCCACTTATTCGATCTATGTGACTATAAGCAAATCATTTAACCTCTCACAGCCTTACTTAACTCATTGGTAGAATGGGGATGATTGTAGTTCCTTCCTCATGGGACTGTGTGAGGTAAGAACTTTGTTGTTGCTTTGGTTTTTCCTGATACATTCTTATCTCTAAAAATATTTTGCAGTTGTAAACTGAGGCTCAGAATAATAAATTCAGCGATAATGTCCATTCAACAAATAGTTATTGAGCTTCCGCTGCGTGCCAGTTACTTTGTTCAGGAGCACTGAAGAGTAGTAAGCAACTTTCCCTGCCCTCAAGGAGTTTACAATCTAGTAGCTAAGGTCAGACAAATCACTCTTGGCTTTTCAAAGGAGCTCCTTGCTGGGCTTTATCTTGACAGGACATTTTTTCCGTGAGTTTCCTGAGTAAGGCCAACTCTGTGAAAATGGCATCATGAACAGTAACATGCTCCTACTCAGGACCAACATTTTATTTGCTAGCAAATAGTAAGCGGTAGCTTTAGCAGCACCTTATACTCAGGACCTGCCCAATTGTGCTCACAGATGTACAATGATTAGTCATTGCAAATGAAAGTTAAGTAACATGATGAGAGATGTCAGTAAACAAAAATGCTCTAGACACATAGGGTTTTAATTTTACAATGCTACCAAATGTTTACTGAATTCTAATTCACCATGAAGAGACACAGTATTAGTATTACTAATGTTACTCATTCAGGAATGTGTTGTGTTTGTTTTCAATATTCTAGGAAGGTTTAACTACCTTGAAATTAGGAATCCTATGATGGACAGGCCTTGGAAAGTCAGCTATATTTTGTGCTTCCATATAATCCCAAATCTTTTCACGAATTTCCTGTTTGGAGACACCTAAAACATTAATGAAAGAGGTTTGAATTAACTGTCAAATAAATCATTAGGAATCACATGTTACAGATGGTCAAAGACTACCAAATAAACCTTTAATACACTACATTCAATCAATCAATAAACATTTATTGAGTGCCTAGTAGGTGCCAGGCATTGTGCTAAGTGTTGGAGGCACAAAAAAGAGGCAAAAGATGGACCCTGCCCTCAAAAAACATAATCTAATAGGGGAAACAAGATACAAACAGATATGTAGGAAATAATTAACAGAAGGCACTAGAATTAAGAGCGATTGTGGAAGGCTTCCTGTAGCAGTTTCTTGCAATTAAATACTGTTCTATTAAATCTGATTCAAAACCAAGGCAAAGTTCTGTTTCTTAAGACACTAGTTTATCTCACAGTGATATGGGCAGCATATCACCATATCCTATCACCCTGAAAACTGGACTGTTCAAGGGTGAACAAATGAATATTTAGAGTTTAATGGATCCTCCTATCAAATGCGGCTTCAAGTTGAAATAATTTAAGGGATATCCGTTCACCTCAAGTTACCGACATTATTTTCAAAAATCCTGGTGATGAGAATGACTTTTACTATTCTCTTTGACAAAACACATGCGTGCTCTGTTCCCTTTCATGCACTACTCTGAAACTTATCTTCTCAGGAAGTCTTCCCAAGTGAACTCTATCTGACAATTATCACTACATTAATTGCAATCTTCAGTCCTCTTGAGGTGAGGACTTTTTTAATGGCAGAACTTACATATCCAAACTACAGTTGTACTCTGCCAATCCTCAAAACAGTTTCTGGACTCATTTGAAAGTGCTTTCTGAGTCTGTACTACATTTTCCTGAACATCCTCAATGGTGGCAAATACCCATCCTCTGAGGAGGAATTTAATTTTTCAAAATAGAGGTCATTTGGAGACAAGGCTGGTAAATACAAAGGGTGAATAAGGTAGGTCAATCCTTTTGGGGGCCAGAAAAAAGTTCCACTGTAAAGTAATGTCACTAAGTTTTATTTATAATTCATACAATATCCATAACAGTTGATTCTGAAGACATTTGAAATTTTTTCAAGCAATGACAGCACCGCCTGAATAAGTAAGCCATCATCTTCCAAGGTAAGATACTTTGCTTATACAAGTTCTGAGACATCTTTTTATAGTTTCATTATTTTAAAGTGCTACCTTTATATAGTTATGATTAATTTGTACTTGTTAATATTTCTCTGTATGTGTTCCATTTCTTTCATACATGTTGGATGAGTCCACTCGAGAGTATTTATCTAAAGGAGTTAATAAATCTATGCCAAGAATCACCCAGAACGAGAAGACAAAAGGGTTGTGATCTACCCCAAAGGAAGAAGTATTCCACAGCGCCATCTCTAATGTAAACAGCTTATGATTGTTTTGGATGATTTCCCACAATCTTTTCCATAAGTTAGAATAAATAAAAGCTCCAAATCAAATTTGCCTTTGGAAAACAGTTATGACTATACTTATTTATCTTACTATAGGACCTTTGAAATATAGTTATGACTACATTTATCTTCTTAATTATTTGATCAGACTATATACTTCAATAGTAAGATTTGCAAAACATTTTACAAATATTATCTCATTCTATCCAGCAGGCAGAGCACTGGATCTGGAGTCAGGAAAAACTGAATTCAAATCCAGCCTCACACACTACCTGTCTGATCCCAGGCAAGTCACTTAACCTCTGTTTGCCTCAGTTTCTTCAACTATAAAATGAGAATAATAACAGCACCTACCTCTCAGGGTTGTCAAGAGGATCAAATGAGATATTTGTTAAAAAGTGTTCAGTATGCTGTCTGGCACGTACATAGTAGGCACTACATAAATGCTTATTCCTCTTCCCCTCACAACTACCCTACCAGGCAGGCTGTTATCTCCCTTTTACAGATGAGGAAACTGAGGTCCTCAAGTGACTTGCCCAGGGTCACACAGCTAGTTTGTGCCTAAGGCTGGATTTGAATTCAAGTCTTCTTGACTTCATGTTCAGTGCCCGATCCCCTTGCACTACCTCGCTGTTTCTACAGATGCACAATTTCATATAAGTGGGTACTCTGCTATAATGTCGAGCAGACTGCACTTCGTCCACTAAGTTCCTCCCAACATAATGAAGGCCTTCTGTTATCCTGCACTCTATCTGAAGGGTCCCCTTCCTTTTCTAATTATACATCTTCTGAATGATCTTTTATAACATTCTCTTGCAAGTCATTGTTGGTAGTGTTTATGACCCATTCATTGCTACAATACACATTACTGAATGGTCTTTAGGCTACTTGCAGTTTTGATTTTCTGGAGGTTGTGCTGTCCTATCATTTGCAGTGGTTTAGCATCTTACCAAGGTAAGAATACTTGGGTTAAAAAGATGTGGGGTTTTTTGGTGGTGGTTGTTTCCAGGGGAAACACAGGAATGTCCTAAGAACTATACACCTTCCCAAATGCTCTCCTATTAATCAAACACTGGACTCAACTCTATCTACTGGTGGTGTTTTGCCAATGGACCAGCTCAATAAGCTATCCACATTTAACTGCATATCAGTCTACATTAGGTGTATATCAGGCGGATTTCAGGGGGTCCATGAACTTGAATGGGAAAATATATCACACCGTTATTTTTCCTAATCTCTAACTAAAATTTAGCACTCCCTTCGATTATGATTTAAAAAACCAAAACATGATTCTGAGAAAGGGTCTACAGGCTTTATCAGACTAAGAAGGGGATCATGATCTGGTCCATATAATGGGCATTATCCATTTATTTTCCTGTATGGATTATTATGCTGAACTCTTTTGAGGGGTTGTGAAATTGATTTAGGATGTTCTACAGTATTTGGGAGATGGATCCAATAAACAATAGAAAAAAGCATATGGAAGCCCTTTTCTTCTATAGGAGATACTTCTTTCACTGGGATTATGCACTAGACTTTCTCTATAATGAACTACTCTAACTGGATTCTAACATCTCAGGCCCTAATAAACATATGTGAAGAAACATAAATGACAGTACAGAAGAGGGACACAGGAAGGCTGGCTGGACCAGACAAATATACACAAAGGAAATCCATGTCGCAAGTGGTACAATTCAAAATATGGGATTAATTCTCAAAATACTTGAAAAAAGGAGAAAACACTGAACAATTGGAAAAACAATTTGGTATTACTGCCAAAAAATAGTTGATCAACTGGACCGTAGTAACCATCAACCACTCTGCCTGCTTTATCTCTATAAAATCATGTACTAAAGGTAGTATCTTTGGTGGGCACACTTATTCCTGAGTTATGCCTCACAGAAACTAAAGCTCAGAAGTTGTCTAGTTCAATCCTCTGATTTTACAGGTGAGGAAACTGAAGTCCAGACAAAGGAAGTGACTGGTCAGGGGTCACACAGGTAATAATTGGTAGAGATAATGGAACTCTGGTCCCGTGAATTCAAGTTCAGGGCTCCTCTTCTATTCCACAACACTTCTCCTTGGCAGGGAAGAACCACCACCATCATCTCTCTTGTGGCATCTATGAAGGGATTGTGGACAATCACAGGTGATGCAAAGGAGATATTCAAAAGCCTTTATGGCTGCATTTAACTCTTCTGCATCAAATAAACATGGTGAGATCTCTATTCTCTGCACCTTCCAGTCAGGTGTCTAATTTTGAAGATGTGGTTTGCTGTAGAAGATCTTTTGCAAAAGCCTCCTTACTCCTCTTCCTTTCTCATATTTGTATCAAAGAAATCTTCAATATGGGGGTGGATCATTCTTCAGAGAGCTAAAGTAGTTATCTGATTGATGTTCCCTTGACTGCCACCTTGGGGCAGTCGTAATACCTGTGATAATAGTTCCACATTTTTCCTTCTTTGGATACTCTGAAAAATCAAACTCATAATGCCCTCGAAAATGTGTCACTTGAAGCACAATGGTTTTCTCTGTGTTTTCTTGGTCTAGTCCAGGGGTGGCAAACCTACAGTCTTGAGGGCACATGTGGCCCTCTAGGTCCTCAAATTTGGCCCTTTGACTAAATTCAAACTTCACAGAACAAATTCCTTGGGGTTTGTCCTATGAGCAGGGCAGAAGGTTCAGGAGAAGTGGGAGCAGGGTGGATCTGTCAGGAACAAAGAGGAAAGTTGGGTAGAAACTGATAAGAGACAATTTTTTGGACAGAAATTATCTCCTTGAAAATAATTTAATCCTGAAGGGAACTTTTATATTTGCAGAGTGAATAGTATACTGGGCCCGGAATCAGGAAGACCTGACTCCAAATCTGACCTCAAACTCTTATTAACTTAGCCATGTGACCAACAGACAAGTCACTTCATTGCTGTGTGCCTCAGTTTCCTCAACTGTAAAATGTGGATAATAATAGCACCTACTGAACAGTTTTGAGGATCAAATGGTCTAACTTCTGTAAAGAAATAAACATACTGCCTACCTCCAAAAGGATTATTTTTACAAAGATTATTTCATTTAGTTTTACAACTTTTTCAGGTAGATTAAAACATAGATATCATCAAAGTATATTGTCATAGAATCTGGCTTCAAATCCTAACTGCTTCTTTACTGTTTGTGTGACTTTGGGCAAGTTACTCAGCCTCCCAAGGCTTCAGTTTCCTTATCTGTAAAATCGGCGGGCAGGATTAGATTAGAGGTGCCCAGAATGCTACCCACAACACTCCTGAGTACAGTCTGAATCATATTAAAATGTAATTGAGAAATATTTAACAAAGTAAAAATATAATAAAACATGTATTTTAAAATTATGTCAATATGGAGCCCATAGGGATCCTTGTGTACAATTTAATGGCCTCTGTTTCTCTATGACTTAATATCACTGGACTAGGTAATTGCAAAGGTCACTTCAGGCCTCAACCATTCGGGGCCTATCTCCTCATGTGGGGAGCGTCAGGAGTAGATTCAATGCCTCATAAGGTTCCTAAAATCCATGCCAGTTGAAAGGAAGCTCAGAAGCCACGACACCTATGCCATAACTGAACAAGAATCCTGCCTCAATATCCCTAGCAAGCAATCAGCCAGCTTTGCCTCCTGACCTCCAAGAAGATACTCACTCTTTACCAAAGCAACCCAACTTACTTTTCGATAGCTCTAATGTGAGGAAGTTTTCCTTATATCAAGGAATGGCAAGATGGACAGAGTGCTGGCCTTAAGGTCAGGAGACTTGAGTTCAAGTTCCTTTTCAGATACTTATGTATGAATCTGGACAAAACACTTAACCTCTTTCCTGATCCACAAAATGAGCATAATAAATGGTATGCACTACCTACTTGGCAGGTCCAGTTAACCTGGAACATAGAGAAGTTGAAAGAATCCCAGATTGAGGGGCAGCTAGGTGGTGCCATAGTGCCATAGACTGGGCAGCTAGGTGGTGCCATAGTGCATAGAGCGTTTGCCGTGGAGTCAAGAAGATCTGAATTCAATTCTACCCTCCACACACCCTAGCTGTGTGACCTTGGGCAAATCACTTAACCTGCCAAAAAAAAAAAAAAAGAAAGAAAGAAAGAAAGAAAAGAAAATCACACACTGGCTACCACAAGACTTATATCTGGGCTCTGGACCTGCTACTGGCTAGCTTAGTGATCTTGAGTAATGCTCTTGGACTCCAAGGTCTTAAAGTTCCCTGTCAAATTCTACAACTACCAGTTGTCCTAAGCTCAAAAATATTTTTGTGTGCAGGTCAGGCGTGTACATTTAGGCTCTTGCCTTGGTGAGCAAAGTCACAATGATTTTCCTACAGTGCAAGTCTGCTCATGATACCTCCCCCTACTCAATAAACTCCAGTGGCTCCCTATGCTATTTGACATTCAAAGCCTTTTGTAACTCCTTCTACCTTTCCAGTTTTCTTACCCCTTAAATTCCACCTACTGACTTTCCCCCGTCCCTTCAAATCCCAACCATAAATCCCATCTGCTACAAGAAGTCTTCAATAACATTCTTAATTCCAACACCCTACCCCTATAATTACTTCCTATTTATCCTATATATAGCTTGCTCTGTGTGTGTGTGTATATACAAGCACACATATATATTTGCATGTTGTCTCCCCCAGTAGACTGTAAACTCCTTGTGGGCAGAGGCTGTCTTTTGCTTCTTTTTGTATCCCCAACACTTAGCACGGTGCTAGGCACAAGGTAGGCCCTGAATAAATGTTTACTGATTGATGACTGATTGATAAACCATTGCTAGTTGAACAAATCTCAGCGTTTTACAATAGGCACTGGCTTTGGAGTCGGAAGACTCGGTTTCAAACCTTGACCTTGCAATTTACTAGCGGTGTGACCCTGGGAGAATCATGTAATCCTTCTGCCAATCGAAGCTCCCTTGCAGCGCTCGGTCTGTGACAGGGTGCGCTGCTCGAGTGCAACATGGGGTGGAACCGCATCATGCCAGGAAGGGGGTAGCAGCAGGGGGTGGGGGTCGGGGCCTATAGTAAGAGTCAGGGTTGACGGACGGGCACCTGGATGGCTGCCCTGGGATCCCCTTAACGAACCCAATGGGCCTGGAGGCCGAGCAGACCTCGCAGAGGAGTTCTTCACGGGGGGCGGAGGGACAAGGTGGGGACGGGCTAAGAAGAGTGAGGATGTCTGCTTATTGCCCCTCCCCCACATCTCCAGCGCTGTCACCTTGGGAGAGTCACTTAACCTCTGCCTCTGTTTCCCCATCCGTAAAATAGAGACAAGAGTACCTCCCTCCCACGGTCGTTTCGAGGGTCGGAGGAGGTGTCTGCAAAGCGCTATTTACTCGCTTTTGTTATTAATCATTATTAGATCGAGCATGTTTCCCCGCCCCCACCCCCGCCCTTCCGGGAAGAGGCTACGGCTCAGGGATGTGGGCACGGCTCAGGCCCGGCCTCCAGACCCACGCCGCAGACCCGGACGCCCTCATCCCACTCTCGTACCCAGCCTTCGCCCGCCCCCTGCCCGCAGGCGCCATACCCGCTCTCAGCCGCAAGGCCGGCTCCATGGCTGCCCCGTCAGCGGAGCGACGGCCGGGGAAGGGCGGGGCTCGAGGCTCGGCGCGCGCGATGACGTCACGCGCCCCGGCGCCTCTTCAATACAGAGACACAAAGAAGGGCGGAGAGAAAAGGACCAACCGCTCGCGCTCTGTACAGAAGCGCACAAAGGACAAAAGTCATAAGGGCGCTCCGGCTGAATGGTAGCCTGCCCGTGAGAGCCCCCTTTCGGTCTGATCTTAGTGCAAGGGAAGGAAGAAACGGAGTTCTCCAGCAGAGGGCGTTGAAGGAATGCTTACACAGACAGGCTAGACTAGGAATAGACGGACAGATGACGGATAGATGGATATATAGGTGCATATAATAGTATACATAGATGCAGAGGTACATTGACACATAGACAGTCAGGCAGATAATTAGTAGATGAAATTGGGTAGGAGATGATAGAGATAAAATCGAAGCTAAATGACTAACATAAATGAATAGAGGATGGATGCATTAGCGAGGTCTACAGATAGCTAGATAAATAGATTGATAGGCCATAGCATTGATAGTTATATAGACAGATAAGATGAATAAATGAATAAGAGAAATGACAGAGATTAAATAGATAAGAGAGATTAGATGGATGAGATAAATGGCTAGATGGATTAGATGGACAGATACATAGATTAATAAACAGATTGATAATTACATAGAGGGATGGTTGTTGTCCTTCATTCTCAGAGAAGACCAAAATGACGCCACTATATTGGGGTCAAGGTACAATGTGTCCAAGTGTGGCTGATCAGACCAATAAGAGCTCAGAGGGCTTTACCATGGGTCGGGCACAAATAGTTCATATAAAGATTTGGAGAGATGTCTCTAAATTTGCACATCTCATGTTTCTTTTGAGCTACTGCAATTCTGCTTTGCTCATAAAGTACACTTTCTTTAATGTGGGGACGTCATGATGAATGGTCCTGTGCCCATGTTTTCCATGTCTCACAATTGATTCCAAAGTTTTTCAAAACAGATGATAAATATTAAGTAGATAAGATAAAGGTTAGATGGATAATACAGGTGTATCTATAGATAGGTGGATTGAACAGAAAAATAGATAGTCAGATGAGATTATGTGAATAGATGGACAGGAGATGATAGAGATTAAATGGATGAAATAGAGGTTAGATGTCTAAAATCAGGAGATGGATTAGCTAGGTATATAGATTGATTAATAGATAATAGGATAGTTAAATGGATATATAGCTAGAGAATGAATGCATCAAATAACCCCATTAAAACTAAAAAGCCAGAGTGAACTTTAAAAATAAACCATTCAAAATGTCTTATTTTACAAATAAAGAAATTGAGGCTTTAAGAGAGGAAGGGACTTGCCCAGGATCACAAAATAGCTCACAGTGGGGTCAAGAACTATTCTAAACAAAAGATGTCTGACTTTAAAAACCAGCTGTCTTTCCATTAAGCCATGCTCTCTGAAATACTTTCAAGATCTAAAAAAAAAAAAATGTTTATGAAGATGATGATCCCATTTGTGTTGAAGAATAGGGAGGGGTGGGGCTGAGTAGAGAAACTAAAATGACAGTTTCCATTACTAGTCTAAGAGGATTCTCTCCCCAGAAATGACCTACCAGAGCATCCTTCCTTCCTTTTCCATTTCTCCCAGATCTTGTCTCTTGCATTATCTCATGCAGAAACTGGAATCTTGCTTCAAGAAAGTGTCAGGAAACACGACCAGCGTTTCTTCCTTAGTGCTGCCTCGGTGAACAAGGAGGAGGCAGGAGCTAAAACTGAAAGGGAAAAGGAGGAGCTGCTAGATACATCAGCGCTGGAAGAGAGTAGACTCTGTACCTTGGGCTGACCGTGTTGAAAGGGACAGAGGTAAGTGTAGAAAGGGGAGCTGTATGTAAATCTCTTTAGAAACCAGCCACCGTTTGTACTGATTGTGCCCATATTTGCTAATGATCTCAGCTAAAGTGAAAGTTCTCATGAGTTTGCCTGACACTGATATGCAAGAATCAAAAAAAGTGTTTGGGCTGGAAGACCTTCAAAGCTTATCTGATGTAAGGATTTCATTTTACCAGGAAGAAGCCTGTAGCTCAAAGAAGGGATCCCTTGCCCGGCCACAAGTTAATATGTAGCAGAATAGAGATTTCAATCTAGGTCCTTTAACTCCAAATTCAGTGCTTTCCATTATATTACACTGCCCAGATTGGCCCATTAATATCAGGTGGATATGGGTAGAATTAGACTTTTTTTTCTCCTCTTCATTGCATGACTCAAACTGTATCTTGTGGTAAGGCTGGGAAGTCTTTTATCAGCACCATAGATCCCAGAATCTCTAAGCTAGAAGGGACTTTAGAAGTCACCACTCTAACTCCATCACTTTAAAGGAAAGGGCATAGGTTTCTTACCAACATGCCACACCATCCTCACTTCCATGAAAAGCTCAGGGCTGCTCACCTGAACCTTTGCTTCTAGCCTCTCTCCCCTCTGAATTGCTGCCACTGACTCACTGGTTTGGAATGGCTCAAATCATCCCAGAGCTATCCCTCCCACTATGACAGACTTCACTTTGACCCGTACGTGTGTGTGTGTGTGTGTGTGTGTGTGCGCGAGAGTCATAAAGAAGCTCAGCTTTTCCTGAAAGCCAACATTGTCTGTTCTTAACAAGGTAAAATAAAGAGGTTATGGAAAGATTTTTTTCCTTGCAAGAAAGCTCAGTTTCCTAATATCAATAATGTATTAATGTAGGGTACAATATCACCCAGGGCCAAACTCATGCTGAGGCAACTGTTTGTCTTAGCAGGTAACACAATTCTAAACAATAGCTCAAATACCATATATCCAATCTGTCATAGCTGTTCAAACTAGTAATGAGACACCAGGGAAAAGTTGCCAGTGTCAATATCAAAAGGCAGGTGGTGTTAGAAAGAAAGAGATTGCCTTTAACTCTTTCAAAAATTGTTCTTAAGTGGAAAATATCTCAGAACCCCTTTGTATTTAAAAGGTAATAAAAAAGGGCATTTTGGAGCAACTCTTTCAACTTTTTTTGATGAATCAGTAAAAAGAATGATATAGACAGACAAATATAGACAAATAAATTTACTTTTATTCCCTAAAGTTTAAAACACTGAATCAGACTAAGGTTCCTTCCAATTCTAAATCCTATGACCTCACATTATAAAATCTTCATCCAAGCTCACGTCATAATTTCACTACTCTTTGCAGATTCTAATTAATTCCCACAATTCTTCTAGCATGTCCATCTGGATATTATTGAACAGATATGGGACATAGAGAGGTGAGGTCTGATGCTTCTCAAAACCATTGAGTTTTCATTGGAAATATTTGTTTTCATGGGTACAGAGAGAAAGAACAGTTAGTCACTCCACAAGTATTTATTAAGTCCTTACTGTGTGCCCGGTACTATTCTAAGGATTGGAGATACACAGAAAGGCAAAAAGGAAACAGACCTCTAAGTAGAAAGTAGAAAGTAGAAAGGGGGGAATCTTTCGTCTTGAGTATTTGTTTTGCTTCAATTTGTTTTGTTTTAAGGATTAGTTCAGAGATACTGTAAGTTTTACTCTAAGCTTCTAGGTCCTATCATGCTACATTCTTCATGTATATTAGTGGAAAGAACAACTGATTGAGAGTTAAAAGCCTTAGGCTGGAGTCCCAATTTTCTGGCTGGTGACCTTGCAAAAGTCCCTTTATCTCCCCCAGTCTCAGTTACTTCATTGATAAAGTGGACATGATACTGCTTGCCTTGGAAGGTTGTTGTGAGCAAATGAGATCATATTTGTCAAAGCACTTGGTAAATTGTAAAGTTTAATGAACATGTGAATAATAATTAGTACTCTTTATTAATAATAATTATTAATGGTGATTCAGGTAAGGTTTTCTTTAGCACTTGACTTTTTGTGTGTGAAAACATTTTTCATCAAAAGCAAAGGTCAGAGAAGTGTCACTAATTATGTGACCTTAAGTAATTTCTCTAATTGGTTCTTACTTTTTTTCTTCTAACATGAGAGGACTGAATTAAATGATTTCTAAAATCCTCTTCCTTTTCTGTACTTCTGAAATTGCATCTTTTTTATGCTTGTCATCTGATCATTAAATAGTAGCCACAGCCTGATTTCCCTAGTGGGGAGCTTCTCCCCTATTGGAGGGGAACTTATTGGGTACCACTGTAGGTGCCTCTTTCTCCTTTAATAAATGCTCTGAAGTTCATGGGTCTTTCTTGCAAAAGACCCAACTTACTGCCCAGCATTCCTTTTGGTTGCTTGGAGAATCGGGTTCATAATTCTAATGCTTTCCAAGACTGCTTAATTCCTATTCCTGCGCTGGTTGCAGAACACTGGTTGGGAGAAAACTTTCCTTCGCCCAGACGCCAAAGATGGGCTCTTCTGAATCAGAAAAACAAATACTCTTTTCAGCTCAGTTCCCCTCCATCCCTCCTTCCCGAACTCAGGGAATTGTAGCGTGGCAGTGACGGGGGGCGGGAAGCAGTGAGGGAAGAGGGGGAGGTGGGGGAGGTCTAATGCATCTTTCTGACCGTTGTCACTCAAGAAGTTAGTACCTGGCGACCACGAGGAGTCTTTTTAAGTCCTGGGGTTAATTACAGGATTCAAGGCAGTGCAATTTAAAAGATGGCCTTTTATGAGCTTTGAGTCTCTATATATTCCAAAAGGCATTTCTCCCTTCTAATTATAAGGCATGCTTTTAGAACACACACCTATGGTGCATGACTTGAGTGTTTGTGCCTGTACGCAAAGATGCAGTCCTTTATATAGTACCTTCAATTTGAACTATTTAAAGAATCTCTAGTTTTCAGGAAGTTAAACATGTTCGTAGAATGTACAGCAGTTTAAATATTACTTTTTCTGTCCCCTGAATTCTACTAACCCTGGGTTAGCCACACAGTCTGACCCAGAGAAATGTATTACTTTAAGAACCAACTTTACTGCTTCTGCGGACCCAGTGAATTAACACCAATTGGTACAATAAGCACTTTGGCTTCGGGTTGTTGTGTTTCAC